TATGCTTCTGCACAATTGGTGGAACTCTGTGCTATGTTAGCAGTTTTTCAAAAATTTTCTGATAATAGAATCAATATTTATACAGATAGCCGATATTTGGTACATTCAATTCCCTATTTGGAAACAGCTGGACAACTTGATAAACAATCCTCAGCCCATTCCCTATTTTTAGAAATACAAAAATTAATTCAAAATCGAAAACAACCATTTTTTATTGGACATATTTGAGCACATTCCGGACTTCCTGGTCCTCTATCTTCAGGTAATCAATTGGCCGATCTTGCCACTAAGGGTATAATAGATTACTATTCTGTCAATTTAGTCAGTGACTCCGTCCATCAAGCAAAAAGTTTTCATCAGCTGCATCACGTTAATGCCAACACTCTTTCAAAAATGTTTTCTATAACCAGAGAACAGGCTAGAGAGATTGTTAAAAATTGTCATTCTTGTGCTCCATTGCTCCCTGTTCCTCATCTTGGAGTTAATCCAAGAGGCATCACCCCAAATCAGATATGGCAAATGGATGTAAGCCATTTCCCAGAGTTTGGAAAATTGCAATATGTTCATTTCATTATATATACATTTTCTGGTTTTCTTGTTGCCTCCCCATGAGCGGGTGAAGCTACTAAGGATATCATAAGCCATTGTCTATATGCCTTCAAAATGTTAGGAATTCCAAAACAGATCAAAACTGATAATGGACCTGGATGTTAGTAAATTCAAAATGTTAGGAATTCCAAAACAGATCAAAACTGATAATGGACCTGGATATGTTAGTAAAGGGTTTTCACAATTCTTGCAGTCCTTAAACATTCAACATACTTCAGAGACCCCTGAATCTGGTCCAGAAAAAGGCGCTAGAGAATGTCCTCTTTCACTTAAACCCCCCGAGCCTCCAGATTCTGGAGGAGCCCCTACAGTGCTATATCCCAGTTTTGAGGCTTTTCAACAAACACTTGAGCGTCCGCCGCCTTCTGCGCCCTCCCCCTCAGAGGGAGGCAAACCTGGCTCAGCTGCGCACTATTAATCAGGAACTCAGTGAGGAACTTCAGCTGAGGCAACAGATTTCATGCCTCTCGAGCAGACTTGCGTCTTTTCATGCCTCAGAGGCCAGGCCTACCAATGAGCCCAATGGTAAAGACCCCATAACATCTGAAGGGTCTCAAGGCATAGCATCTCCTTTACAAGAGGCTCTTAAATGCGCTGCAGCACAAGGGGAGGAAATCTTTAGA